AAAATGAAAACTTACCGCTGACATTGGTCCAACGATCTCTTCTCGTGTCATACGAGGGCGGATGCCCATATTTGGAAAGCTCGGGTGTTCCGTGCGTAGCGCTAGGGTCATTGACCGCGGTTATCGAACACGCTGTTCCATTGTTCCATGGTTGTTCGAATGTTCCAAACGCGTTCTTTTTGTTCGATTTTTGGCTTAAAATGCAACTTTTTTCACCCTTTTTTTCAAATAAAATCATTTTTTGACACCTATGTTGGCTAAAATGACCAAGGTTCAGTGTCTAACGTACCAACCTACCAGCATGCTGAATTTCATTTTCCTCCAGGTTCTAATTACGAAAATATATACGATTTTTAGGTGTTTGGAGAAGAGGAAGAGGAAGAGGAGGAGGAGGAGGAGGAAATGAGCAAATATAATATGTTTCCTTCGGTAAACATAATAAAAACAGGTCTAGGCATCCTATTATAGCCCCAAATGCTACAATATGAGCCATGAAGTCAACAAAAAAGGCTGGGTTAAAATTTAAAGTATAAATTTTGAACTTTTAATCAAACCACTGCATTGATAGATAGAAAAAACTGTAACAACTAGGAAGAAAAGGACTTTCCTCAACTGTTTGGGGCAAAATATGAGCATTTTTGAGTTGATTCAGAACCAGAATCTTTTTTTTTTTTTGCAAATCAGAAAAAAATGAAGAGGCGAATCCGAGAACCAACAAATTAAATTGGTGTGGCCTAAGGAGAAGTTGTATCTCTGAGTCTCACCCTCGACAATTCTTGTCTTTCATTGGGCAGCAAAACAAAAATGTTCTGGATGAGGAAATCTTTCTGGTGTTGGCATATAGTGCCATTGATTTGTTAGCACACTCTGGTTGTCATTTCATACTTGAAGCATTTGAAATAGCCCTAAAACCCTAACCATGTTGTAGGTGTATGTGGATTTTTTCATTTTCTGCATTGACTATTACCACTTAAGAAGGTACATGTGTAAATTAAATAATGTCAATGGTTTCTGATCAGCTTTTAGTGTGGTCCATACATGTACTTCCTGAAGTGTGTGGTGCAGGTAAAATTGCCTGGTGTAGATAATTTTCAATGTGGCCAATGCTTTCAATGCACATGCAGAAAAAATATTTCAAGCCCTGGCCTGCATCTGATCTGTAGTGCAACATCAGGGCTCGAAATACTGCGTGCATGTGCACCTTAGCCGACCCAAATTTAGAGCTTTGAATCCAATTTTGTTCTGTGGATGCACCAGTGCGCCCAAATATTTTTGTAGGTTTATATAATGTTAAGGTCACCATGTTAGTAATGTGTATAGCATAATCTTAACATCTACATTTTGTAAGTATCAGAAAAATGATGAAGTTATTGTTGCAGTACTTTTCATCAGCAATGAAACATACAGGTATTTTGTTTTTGCTGACATTTTATCTTATAAATATTTGTTATATATATATATATATTATGATGCACTCAAACATTTTAGTGCACCCAGTTTTTAGGTCAGGTGCACCAGTACTAGTGCACCTATTCCCAAAAGTGAATGTTGAGCCCTGTTGTAACATGTCCTGTGTGGCCCTCCCCTCCTCTCCCCAGGGTGTGAGGAATGTGGGAAGAGTCTTCCAGGAGAGTGTCAGCTCCATGGCACCCTACTCAAGGTCAAAGACAAGGTCATCCCGTCCCGGGCTCGCCTCACTCTACCTCACTACCTTCAGTTGCGGGAACTGGAGATTCGACCCGGAAACAAACAACGTACATATTTACTTATTTCAAAACACATTTTATCTCAAATTGTACTCTATAGCAATGAACGAAATAAAGTTTTTGGCGCAGCCTCCAAATTCTACCACAACTTTCATATAAAACATATGATATAGATGAAAAGAAAACTACTCTTCTCTCAACATCCGAAAGCCCACACATTACAGAAAAAGTGGGATCTTTTGTCTTCCTCTGTCTCCAGAAAAGTAGTCCTGGTTCTGTATGGGAAAAATTGATTAATATGTACTGGTATTGTCTAAATAATTTCACACTTATTATGTCATCATTTGTGACTTAGAATGTGTAAATAGAAATCAAAAGAATAACCAGAAAATTGACTTTGAAAATCCAGTTTTGCTGTCCCTTTTGCTGGGTTGATACACATGCATTTTACATTGATAGTAATTAGTATTACACAGAATATACATAATCTTTCTTCAATCTCTTTTTCAGTTCTGGGTGTGTTTGCCAAAAAAGTGATTCAGAAAAGAACTCAGTTTGGTCCGTTTGAGGCCACCCTGGTCACTAGCATAGCAAACCTCACCAACAGAGATGAAAACAAATTTCTGCTACAGGTAAGTAGAGCTTCGTTCATCAAACTCATACAATTTGTAATCATGCTTACCTGTGTATCAGAGGACCATTACACATTGTAGTTGTACAGTGTTCTAGCCAGCATCCGTCTTGTAAAGATACAGAAAGAGATGTCATTAAATTAAGCAAAGTTTACCAGCAAAATTTGCCCCTCAAAATGCAGGAAAATGCAAAATTTGCGTTTAAATTTCTGATGATCAAGACACAATTTTTCCAGGGGAGCATGGCCACCCCCCTCCCTTTCACATTGTTGCGCATCAGCGATTGACATGATGTTATGTCAAACAAAGTTAAGGCCACACCACAACGTCTATACCTCTGTGATTTAAAAGGGCTTTGGTTATAACACAAGACAATTTATGTTCGGTAGAGACAATCACACGTTTGGAGTTCAAGTCCAATTCATGCTGAGTGATGGTGGGGTGAGTTGTTTTGTGATCCTGAAAGGAAATGACGGCCACACTGGTATTTTTGCCGCTTGAGGCGAATGTAAATCAACATGAGTGAATTCCCCGGTGTCCCTGACCTTTCTAAGTGATGCATGTGTGGAGCTTTGTGGAGCTTTGGTTCAGATCCCTTATGGATCTAGTCACAAAGCTTGCTATCATCCGTAAATTTCCACAGAAGACATGAGACACATTAAACATTTAAGTTTGCTGGCTTACTGAAATAATATGTTTCCTGGTCATTTTTCTATGTTCAAGACATTAGAATTTGCGTATCATCATTGAGTGTCAATATTTAAAAAAAAATTTTTTGTTAAATTGTGTAAATGTATAAGTGTTAGCATGCATTGCCTTCATGCTGGTGGGTCCCCTCATGCAAATACAATTTTTTATGGGCATTCAAAATGAAATTTCAATTACATGACCTGGATAAAGAATATTTCAGTTTACTGTAGGGAGAATTATGAATTCTGAGAGGTTCACAGAAGTTACAGTGTGAAAATTATTATATAAAATAGCCAAGGAAATTTTTTACTAACTAAACTGTTACAGAATTTCGGTAAAGCAAATGTGTGTTTGGGAAACCAAATGTGTAAATGTGTGACAGGCTTAAACTAGTAAATGAAGGGCTTAATATATAATAAATGCCATAAACACCGTTACTAGTGAGATGACAGGGTACTTTATGTTGCTCAGTTCTCAGTAAAACTACTAAAAATCTTGTTTGTTCCATTACCAATTGCAGGTTTTTAAGAACGGGAAGGAGTACTACCTGGACACACCCAATGAAGATGTTTGTAACTGGATGATGTTTGTGAGACCAGCCCGGAACCATGCGGAACAGAACATGGTGGCCTACCAGTACAGGGACAAGATCTACTTCTCCTCCACTAAGGTTGGACAGAGCACTTGTTTGTGGTTTACCTGGAACCTATTGAGTTGTTTCTAGTGTTTTCATGGCTTGAAATACTGGGTGCATGTGCACTTTAGTGCACCCAATTTTTTTTCTGTGGGTGCACCAGTGCACCCAAATATTTTGACATGTATGTACATGTATGTCAAGATTGTATACTACAGTAGTATATAGCATATTCTTAACATCTAATTGTCAGAAAAATAATAAAATCATTCTTACAGTACTTTTCAGAAACGAAACATACTTAGTTTGTGCTGACATTCTACTTAGTTTATTTTTTGGTGCACCCAAACAGTTTTTTGTGCACCTAATAGTAATATTTTAGGTTGGGTTCACCAGTGCACCTATGACCAAAAATGAATTTTGAGCCCTGGCTTTCCGATGTTGTTTTAGTACTATATTCAAACATTTTTTAGTGCCTCCTGGCTTACTGAAGATTCCTTTTTAGTGTGATATTTGAATTGATATCGTTAATTGCAGCCGATCGAGCCACACTGCGAGCTGAAAGTGTGGTATGCTGCAGACTACGCAAAGAGGATGAACATGCAAGTGTTAGTCAAAGGTCTGTCACCACTATATTTACACTTTGTCAAGACTTTGGTAATTAAACAGACATCATACATGTATGCAGTCATCTTTATGCACTGTGCCCCTCCCCTCACAGTCAAGTACAACTGCAACTTCACTGCCAAAAGAATTGCCAAAAGAATCAGTCGAAAATACAAAATGTAGAATAGAAAGCAATTCAGAAGTTTTCCGGCTTATAAATTGCAAAATAATCATCATACATTGTAATCTACGTAATTTATCCAGTTACTGTAGTAGAGTTGAAATTGAATATAGCTTATGATTGTAGTTTTTAATGTACATGCATGTATGTTAACTTGAAGTTGAACCACATACCTTTACAGAGGAAGATGAGCTCTCGTGTGCCCTCCAGAGCAAGCCACAGGAGATCAGACCAGTAAGTACTCTGGACTTTTTCAAGGTACGTAGCTTGGACCAAATTGCAGGCTTAGAAGTTTTGGCATGTTTGAGCAGATTTGAAAGACCTTCCTTCTATTGTGACGGTACCGGTGTTCCAGCCTGTCTTTCCATCTGATTTTGTAGAGACTTTTGCTGCTCACGATA